AGACAACTTGTGATTTTACTTTGAATTATATATATTGTGCATCAAATGAAAGAGAAGAGGTCAAGTGGTGTCTTTTTAAAAATTTATTTCATTTCATTTATTATCATCATTATTATTCATTTCTAATTTGACAGATAGAGAGAGAGAGAAAGAGAGAGCAAGCAAGCCACCACCAGGACCCGGACTTGAATCATGGTTGGCCATATGGGAGTCCAGCACCTTTAACCACCATGCCACCTGCTGGCCCCCAAGTTATATCTTATAATGCTAACTAGGAGCATAACTATACATGCTTGGAACTTCATGGTCTTTACAGCAGAAAAATATACCTAATAAAACCCTAAAACAACTGTACAATTTACCTTACCATTCAAGTAATATCTCTGAGGAACTTGCTGCGTATTTGGGGGTGTATTTCCAGGCAGAAGAAACAGTAGCTGCAAGGGCCCTGAGGAAATAGCATTCATGATATGTTTGAAAAATTTGGGGAGACTGGGTGTATTAATTTATGCTGTGTGAACTATGTGAAGCCTCGTTAGACCATCTAAATCGGCAGGCAGTTACATGATGTGCAAGTCCAGAGTTCAGTGGAGAGGCCTAGAACCAGAGGTATACATTTGGAAGTTGCCAGTATATAAGTGTTATTTAAAGCTATTAATTAGACTGGACGAGATCACCAAAAAAATTACATGTAGGTAGAGACTATTTTTTTAAAAGAATTATTTTATTTAACTTTATTATTATTATCGTTATTATTTTCCAGTTTGATCAGAGAGAGACAGACAGAGAGAGAGGAAGTGAGAAAGCAAGCCACCAGATCCGAGACTTGAACCGTGGTCGGCCATGTGGGAGTCCAGCGCCTTTAACCACCATGCCACTTGCCAGCCCCAGGTAGAGACTATTTTAAGAGACAGAAAAAGACTATGAGGAACCAGAAAATGAAACTGAAAAAAAAATAGCATAGAACTGTGTGGAAAGGAAAAAGGAAAAAAATGAAGAGTATGGTGTCCTGGACGCTATATAAAGAATGTGTCTCAGGGAGGGCAGAAGGAGCTGGTTAAGTGCTGCTGACAACTGAGACCTGGCCCGGAGTTTATTTGTTTGAAGGTCATTGGTGACTCACATGAGAACTATAGACTATGTAACAATTCTTTCATAAAGTTTTGTTGCAGGGACCAGCAGTTAGCATAATGGCTATGTCGCTGGACTCCCATGTAGTCATCCGCGGTTTGAGTACTGGACCTGGTGGCTTAAATTCACACTGGGCACGTGTGCGTGCGTGTCCAAGATCCCGAGAGGAGGAGGGATTGCGGCGAGGCCTTCCCCCCAGGAGGTGATTTCTTGCTTTCTGTCTCTCTGTCTCTCTTTCAGCTAGTATACGCACCCTATAGCAAAAACCTCTCCAAAAAAAGAAAAAGTTTGGTTGCAAAGTGGTAAGAAATAGATTAGAAGCTGAGTAGTGAGTAAGTGATTCATTTTGTTGGATTTTTTTTTTTTTAGGTTTTTGCTATAGAGTGTATGTGCTCACTGGGAAGAGAAAGAGGAAAGTGAGAAAGTACCCCCCAACCTCTAGTGGGGATGGCCACGGTGCAATCCCTTCTCCTCTGTGCTTTTATTGTGATTTTGGGCATGCACACACATGTGCCAGCATGTTTCTCAAGCTGCCACACCACTGCCTGGCCCAGATCTGGTTTGATTTATTTATATTTATTTATTTATTGAATTAATTTATTTAACTTTATTTATTTTTTTTATTTTGACCAGAGAAGGACAAACAGAGAAAGAGAAAGTGAGAAAGCAAGCTGCCTAGTCTGGGACTTGAACCATGGTTAGCCACATGGGAGTCCAGCACACTTAAGTGCCATGCCATCTGCTGGCCCCTTGATTGATTGATTTATGTATCTATTTATTTAATTTTATTTGTTATTATTTATTTTTTTAATTTTACCAGAGAGAGAGAGGAAGAGAGAAAGGGAAACTGAGAAAGCAATCCACTAGGTGCAGCACTTGAACTACAGTCAGCCATGTGGAAGTCCAGTGCCCTAACCACCATGCCACCTGCCGCTCTCCCCTTGACTTATTTTTAATTTTAATTTTTTTATGTTTGTTTGCTATAGGTCTGTGTACTCACCAGAGAGAGATGGAGGAGGGGCTTAGAAATCAGCTCCCCTCCAGGGGGATGTCCACCCTGTTCTCCTCCATACTTTTCTCAGGATTATGAGTACACATGTACATGTGCCTGGCATGTTTTTTAAGCCAGCAGGTTCAGGGCTCAAACCACACAGTCAGCCATCTGAAATCAGCTGCCTTAACCTCCAACCTGCTGACCCTGATTTGATTTTTTTTTTTGTGGAAAAATTTTTTGCCGTAGGGTGCATGGGCTCGCCAGAGAGACAGAAAGTGAGAAATCATCCCCCCCTACCCCCAGGAGGGGTGGCCACACCAGTCCTGTCTCCCTTCTTGAGATTTTAGGCATGCACATACACAGAGCTGGAGTGAGTTTCAAGTGGCCGAGTTGAAGACTTGAACTGCTGTTGACCATGTGAGAGTCTGGTACCTTAACTATTACACTACTTGCTGACCCCTGGTTTAATTTTTTTTGAGAGAGATTTTTTGCTATAGGGTGTATGTACTTGCCAGAGAGAAAGCAAGAAATTGCCCCCCTGGGGGGGATGGCCTTTCCACAATCCCCTATCCTCCATTCTCCTCTTGGGATTTTGGGCACGCATGCACATGTGCCTGGCGTGAATTTTAAGCCGTCTGGTCTGGGACGTGAACTGTGGTCAACTACATGGAAACCCAGCAATGTAACCATTATGTGATCTGCTGGTCCCAGCTTCTGGTTTGATTTTTTTTTTGAGAGAGAGAGATTTTCGCTATAGGGTGCATGCGCTCGCCAGACAGACAGACAGAGGCATTAGAGACAGAAAGAGAGAAATCACCCCCCCAGGGGGAATGGTCACGCCGCAATCCCTTCTCCTCCATTCTCCTCTTGGGATCTTGGGCACGCACGCACACGTGCCCAGCGTGAGTTTTAAGCCACCGGGTCTGGGACGCGAACTGTGGTCGACTACATGGGAGTCCAGCGACATAGCCATTACGCTAACTGCTGGTTCCCTCTGGTTTGATTTTTAAGTTGAGGGATATACTAGCAGGTTTGAATACTGTCTTAGTTGATTTGGGCTGCTATAACAAAATACCGTAGATCAGGTGATTTATAAACAACAGATTTATTTCTCACAGTTCAGGAGGCTGGGAAGTTGGAGATCAATGCTCTGGCAGACTTGGTGTCTGGTTCCTGAGACAGTAGAAGGGGCAAAGGAGTTCCTGGGATCTCGCATATAAGGGCACTGACGTAACTCATGAGGGCTCTCCGTTCATGACCTAATCACCTCCTGAAGGCCTCACCTTCTGATACCACCACATTGGGGATTAGGTTTAGCATAATGACTTTTGAAGGGGTACAAGTATTCAGTCTACAGCAAATACTGATGGGACTGCCCGACTCGAGAGGGAATAAGCAATGGTGGAGTGACAGGAGACATTTGCCGGAGGAGGTCCTCATGTAAGTGTGAAGAAGCTTTCTACTGCTTAAGTAGAGTTAGGCAGTGAATGGGAGTGTGAGCAGATTGCCCGCACTGACAGAAGGGAAGGTAGAATCCATGGGTCCAGATGCTGATACGCAGACAGATGTGATGGTAGGAAGCAAACTCTTTGGATTATTTCTGTTTTCCTCAGTGAAACAAGAAGCACAGGCATTGAGATGCTTGAACTTGGGAGAGCTGGAAGAGCAGTTCGAGGAGAGAGGAGAACTGAAGTCATTAACCTCATTCAGTGGGATGGTGGCTAGATCGGGAAAGTGTGTCGTGATTGTCGAGCATAGTCATTAATAGCCTTCTTGAAGTTGGTGACATGAGTTAAAGTGAGCTGAGTCAGCACAGTTAGATTTTCGCCAGCTGCATTCGACTGCATGGATTCAGGAATGAGGCAGTGGAGAAAGTTGGATTTAACCTGAGTTGGAGTTCGACCAGTCAGGTATGACATGTGAGAGAGGGGACAAGGAGTGGAGGGTGCACATGAGCTAGTGCTTAGGATAAAGGGCTATGGAGTTTACACCGAATGAGAAAGGAGTGAGGGCATGATGGTAGTGCAGGTTGTAGGGTCAGTGTCTAGTGGGGGTTGTAGGTGCTGGTGAGACAGAGGATTGTGGGCGACGGGAGTAAGTGAACTGGAAAGAGAGGTTTGGTAGTTGTGGGGAGGATGCTTGAAATTTCAGGGGGTTTACAGTGACAGCAATGACAAGGTCCAGGGTCTGACCCAGGAGTGACTGAGGCAAGATAGACACATAATAAAAACCCAAAGTATTGTTAAGTCGAGTATGTTTAGTAAAGACATTAAATTGGCAGCTGAAATCCTCCAGGGATGGGCTAATAACCTGAGGGACAAGACATGACCATTAGAAAGAGCAATGGATGGGACAGTCTGATCCTGAGGACTTGCAAAGAGAAGAGGGAAAGAATGGACTGGAAATGCCAATGAGATATAAGGAGTGCAGCTACCCCATCTCTAGCCTAGTGGGTGGGGGATATGGAGAAAAAAATTCTCTTTGCTTCTGTTGGGGAGCTGTGTCCTTGTGGAAAGCACAGTTTCTATGAGAGCAAGAAGACAAGTCCGTGTGCAGAGAAGGCTGTTTCAGGGGAAAGGCTCCCAGGAGCAGGGGTTGCTGAGTTCCTCAGTAGGGATTAGAGTGCCGAATAAGGGGAGGCCGAGGCATCTGGGGGTTTTCCTAAGTGACAGAAACAAATAAGGGACCTGTTGAAATTGTCCTGGTCTAAAGACAGTGCTGGCAAGATTGTTACTGCTGTGGGAAGGTGGGCCTTCTCTTTTCTTCTACTGATGGAGGCCTAGGCAGGGGCTGGTTTTCTTTGGAGTATATGGAATAAATGCCCAGTGGTGTAGGTATCTGTCTAATTTCGTTCTATTCGTTTTTACATTTACAGGTCATTAGTAATTATCAGCACTTTAGATGGGCGAATTGCTGCCTTGGATCCTGAGAATCATGGCAAAAAGCAGTGGGATTTGGATGTGGGATCTGGTTCCTTGGTTTCATCCAGCCTTAGCAAACCAGAGGTAAGAGTTTTTTTTATTAAATGTTAACTGGAAAACTTAGTTATAATAAATAGGCTCAGGGCCTTACTGCCAAGTGAGCCCTGTCTCTTACAAACTGTGCTTGTTTGGGGCAGTTGCTTAACTTTAACCCTCAACTCTTTTCCTGAATGGGATAGATAATTGCATCTCCTTTTTTAAAAAGAAGTTTTTGCCTTAGGGCATGTGTACTAGCTGGAGAGAGGCAGAGACAGAGAGAAAGTGAGAAATCACCCTCTCGGGGAAGGGGATGGCCATGCTACAATCCCTTCTCCTCCATTCTCCCAGGATATTGGGCACGCATGCACGTGCACCCAGCATAAGTTTCAAGCCACCAGGTCTGGGACTCAAACTGCTCTCAGCTATGTGGGAGTCCAGTGACATAACTTCTACACCCTCCACTGGCCCCTACACCTTCTTCATAGGGTTGTTTTGGGCATTGACGGAGTTAGTCATATGAATGAAAACTGAGGATGCTGTCTGCTGTGTCAATTTAGTGCATTATCTGAGCTAGAACATGACCATTATTTGTGGTTATCACAGGGTCTCTAGGAATAATGAGACAAGTATAAATAAAAACTCGGTTGAGTTTTACAAGTTAGAAATCCATGCTACCAGATCTCATAAGTTATTCCCTACATTTTGTCTTGAATATATGTCCTAATTGTAAACATAATTCATCTGAAATTTTTCTTGAAATATAATTCTAGACAAATGTGATTACTTGCAGAAAATGTATACTTAATAATTCTGAGTTCTAAAATGGTAGAATTAAAAAGAACATAGATTCAAAGAGATCCTGCACATGATTTCAAAACTTGAGCAAGTGACTTAGCCCCTCAGAGGACACTGTACCTAGATGAGGTGGGGGAACTAAATGAAGGAAGCTTATTTCTTTTTCTTTATTCTTGACTCTAATGTGTTAAGTCTCTCTCCTTTCCTGGAACCATACTCTTCTGCTTAAGTAATTTAAAAACAGGTTCATCTTTTGAGTTGTGACTGCCAACATTGAAGTTATCAGTCTTCTAAAATGCCCTTAGCCTTCTATCAAATCAAGTTCTTCCTATAGAACACTCCCTAAAAAGGGGGGGGAGGAAGGTAGTCCTTTATCCTCTTTTTCATCATCCATGTGTTTCTTAAAAAGCCTCCTAACTGGTATTAAGTTTGGAAAAACAAAACCTAAAAAGAGAAGCTTTAGAATAGGTGACCTTGATAGGTGACAGAACTTTCTAATGGCAAAGTGACCTATCTCTAATAACAGACTTCCTTATGCTCTCTAGTAACCCCAGCCCAAATTCTTTTTGTTTAAAATTTTTCTTCCAGTTCAGGACCAGAAGATAGCATAAAGGTTACGTTACTGGACTCCCATGTAGGGAACCATGGTTTAAGTCCTGGTCCCAGTGGCTTAAACTCACACCAGGTGTATGTGCGTGCATGCCCAAGATCCCAAGAGGAGAATGGAGGAGAAGGGATTGCGGCGTGACCATCCTCTCCCCTGAGGGGCATGATTTCTTGCTTTCTCTCTCTCTGTCTTTCTGGCAAACACACATGCCCTATAGCAAAAATCTCTCTTAAAAATTTTTTTTCCTAGTTTATTTATTTCCTTCATGAGAGAGAGATAAGCACTCTTAATAGGGTCTTCACACTACAATCCTCCTGGGAACCCTGTAGCTAGCCAGGATCATGTATGTGTCCAGGTAGTCCCAGGACATGAACTCAGTCTTCTCATGTGGTCTTTGGCATTATACAGCAGTGCCCCTCTATGGCTGGGCCATCTGAATTCTTTTCTAGTGCACCCAGGCAGGTGCTTAGAGAAACAGCACTGCAAATTTCCACATTCACTGTGTGCTAAGCCCTGACTAGACTTTCAAAGTACCTACTGTTTATCACATAGTATACAGAAAATATCTGTTGAGATTAGTGAACTTCTGCTGTATTGTGAATTATTATATTAATGCAAGTAGCAATTTGATTCTAAATTAAATGAAAAGTCTTGAATTGAGTATGGTAGTTGAATAAATGACTACTCCAGCTAAACTTTGATTTATCTGTGTTCTGCTGGGATTTTGCTTGTGTATGCATGTTTTGCTTTATTTTTAAACTAGACATAAAAGATGGTCAGCAAAATGAGAAGACTGTAAGCTGTTTACATCTAAGGTAATATTACAGTATGTTGTGGTACAAAGCATGTGTGTGTTTGCAAACAATATACACATGATAAAGATAGAAGTTGCATGGTATGGCAAAATGGGATGCAAATAGTTGTAATAACCCGAGTGCTATTGAGTGTGTTTAAATTATAAGCAGCAAGTCATACAGGAAGACTTTTTCTTTTTTTTTACAAATAGCAATCATATTAGCTGCTTTTTAAAACTACTGTTGGGGCTGGTGAGTGCTGTGGTGGTTAGAGCAGCTGGATCCCACATGGCCTACTTTCCAGTTCAAGTCCTGGACCTGGCAGTTTAAGAAACTCACTAGGTTGTATGTGTATCCCCAAACTCTTGAGAGGAGAGTAGAGGAGAAGGGATCGTGGTATGGTCATCTGCCCTAGGAGGGTGCTTTCTCATGTTCCCCCACCACCACCCCCATCTCCCTCGAGCAAGTGCATGTACCTTACAACATAAAGTAAAATTGCAGTTCATCTTTTTTACTATCACTAATCCTTACCATTTGCATTGGTTTATTTGAGCTCTCTTATTTTAAGTGTCTTGCTCCCACTTACCCTAGATCTTTTGTATAGAATGCTTTGAAATGTTGAATTGCAAGCATATTCAAAAAGTTTCTGTATTCACATTTAGAGTAACGAATGAAAAAGCTCACTGGGCACTTCCCATGCAGAAGAATAATTCTGAGATCTCTTTGCATTATCAAGATTTTAATTTTTTTTTTTTTTTGGAGAGGTTTTTGCTATAAGGCACGTGCGCTCGCCAGACAGACAGAGAGAGACAGAGAGACAGAAAGCGAGAAATCACCCCCTGGTGGGGTGGCCACACCGCAGTCCCTTCTCCTCCATTCTCCTCTCGGGATCTTAGGCACGCATGCACACACGCCCGGCGTGAGTTAAGCCACCAGGTCCGGGACTCGAACTGTGGTCGACTACGTGGGAGTCTAGCGACATAGCCATTACACTAACTGCTGGTCCCCAAGATTTTAATTTTTATGCCTTACAAAAAAATAAAAAAATATAGAACCTCTAAAGGCATTGAACAATCTGTGATGACATGATAAGCTTACTACATTTTATTGCTGCCCCAAGTTCTTGGGACCATTTCTTTAGCATGTAAGTATGCTAATGAGAACATGTTCTCAGCATGGTAATTTGTAATCGGAATTTCTTATACACTGTAATCCTTATAATAATCTTTCTGAGATGGAGGTGTTGATCTCATGTTGTAGAAGAGGATACTGAAACTTGAAGGAGTTATTTACTTGCAGTTGTAGACTGACTATATGATAAAGTGGGCTCGAACCCAGGCTTACCCGACTGTATCCATTCGGCCTGTTCTAGAGCCCTTTGCCCACCTTATATGTGTCTCCCTGTACACACTTAGGGTGTAGTGCCACATTATCTCAAACTCTTCAGTCTCAGGACCCTTTTAGACTCTTAAAAATTATTGAGGATTCCAAAGGGTTCCCCCCCACCATGTTTTTTTATCTGTCTGTATTTATGAGATTAAAAATTAAAGCAAAACTTTAAAAGACATCTATTAATTCATTAAATAATCTCATGATACCTCCGTAAATATTTTTATGAAAATTTTAATGAGTAAAGTGGCATTAACTTTTTTTTAGGTTTCTTTCTTTCATAGGAGTGAGAGAGAGAAAAAGACAAACACCCTCAACAGGGTTTCATGCCACAATCCCCTCCCCCAGCCTTTCTAGCCCATCAGGATCATAGGTGAGCTTAACCAACGGGAAACCAAACCTGCTACCTTCCTATGGGTCCAGCATAGCTTGAGCAGCATGCTACTACTGCTCCACCTAGCTAGCCCGGTTTTACATTTTTGCAAGTCTCGTTTAATTTCTAATTCAATAAAAAAAAAAACCTGACTACTGCTCCACCCTGTTTTACATTTTTGCAAGTCTCATTTAATTTCTAATTCAATAAAAAAAAAAACCTGGATTTTCATATCTGTTTCTGTATTAAATATGTTGCATTATTGTTTTCATTTAATTATATGAAGACAAAAATTCAGCCATGTACATACATAGTTGGAGAAGGGAGGTATATTTTAGTAGCTTTTTAAAATAACTATGGCCATTCTTTTTTGATACTTTACTGAAACAAGTGAATTTTTTTTTTTAAGGTTTTTGCCACTGGACACCTGCGCTTGCTAGAAACACAGAGAGAGAGAGAGAGAGAGAGAGAGAGAGGGAAAGTAAAAAATAACCCCCCAAGGGGGATGGCCACACCATAATCCCTTCTTCTGCAGAGATTTTGGGTACACACACATACACACCTGGTGTGAGTTTCAAGCCACGGGATCTGAAACAGTGATCAGCCCTGTGGGAGTCCAGCACCTTAACCACTGTGCCACCTGCTGGCTCCATGGATATGTCTTAAAGGTTAGTTCCACTACAGAATCTGAAACCATGTCTTACTTTATATACTCTCTTACATTAACATCCATTGGTTTGTTTAACTTTTTACTCATGCATGATTTTCTAACATTAGAATATGTTGATTCCCTGAGTTCTTCCAAATAATCGACATACTTCTTTGTAGAATAATAGGGAAACCAATTTTAGAATTGTCACTATTGCTATCGTCAGAAAGGATTTTCTGAAATTATTATTTTTAATTTGCTGGAGGTTGCATGTGCTCATGGGAGACAGAGAGAAAGAAAAAGTGAGAAAGCATCCCCATGGGGATGGTCACACCACAATCCCTTCTTCTTCATTTCTTCTTTGGGGATTGCGGGCACGCATGGGCATGTGCTTGGTGTGTTTTTCTTTTTCTTTTTTTTTTTTTTGCCCCCCATTTC